CAGAGTTTTTAATAAGAAATCAAGAAAAGTTGAGGAGTCTGTTCATGTTAAGTTTGACTTATCTGAGTCTCCTCTTCCTTTAAAAACAAACATAAAAGACTATGATTTTCTTCCTATTAGCCCTACTCTTGAGACAGGTAATTCATCAAACACTCAGGACTCTGAGAAAACAAACCCCTGTCCACAAGCATCCTCTGAAGAAGTCAGGATGCCTGAGGATCCTGAAGCTCCTACTCATATCAAGAAAAGACACCCTCCATCTCAGATTATAGGTAACATATCTGACCCCATTCAAACCAGAGGTAAGTACACTCCTGGCCAATATGCGTTTGTATCACTACTTGAACCCAAAAACTACAAGGAAGCAATTCTTGATGAAGAATGGTTACTTGTCATGCAAGAAGAACTGTCTCATTTTATCAGACTAAAGGTCTGGGAACTGGTTCCCAGACCTGTAAATTCTTTGGTTATTGGCACTAAGTGGATTTTTAGGAACAAGTCTGATGAACTAGGCTTCATTATTAAAAATAAAGCTAGACTTGTTGCTCAGGGGTATAGTCAGGAAGAAGGAATTGATTATGATGAGTCATTTGCTCCTGTTGCTAGATTAGAATCAATTAGACTTCTTTGTGCCTATGCCAGTCTCATGAATTTCAAACTATATCAAATGGATGTGAAAACTGCATTCTTAAATGGTGAAATCAAAGAAGATGTGTATGTTGAACAGCCTCCAGGTTTTGTTGATTTTGAGTTTCCTGACCATGTTTTTAAACTGTCCAAAGCCCTATATGGTCTCAAACAAGCTCCCAGAGCTTGGTATGACAAACTAACCTCATTTCTCATATCTCAAGAGTTCTGTCAAGGAGGAGTTGACAAAACTCTTTTCATAAAAAGAAAAGGTACTCACTCTCTGATAGTACAAGTCTATGTAGATGATATTGTCTTTGGAAGTACTGATCCCACTATGAGTGAAGAATTCTGTTATTCCATGAAAAGTCAGTTTGAAATGAGCTTAATGAGAGAATTAACCTTCTTTCTGGGTTTACAAATTAATCAAACTGAGTCTGGGATTTTCATTCATCAAACCAAGTACCTACAGTCTATGTTATCCAAATTTGACTTGGTGAATGTGAAACCATGTAAGACACTTATTGCATCAAACACTCATCTGGATCATGATATTAATGGCCAATCAGTATGTGAGAAAAAATACAGAGGCATGATAGGCTCTCTTCTGTACTTAACCGCCAGCAGACTTGACATTCAGTTCAGTGTCTGCTTGTGTGCTAGATTTCAGAGTAAACCTAAAGAAAGTCATCTTAGTGCTGTTAAAAGAATATTTAGATATCTCAAAGGATCTCATGACCTAGGTTTATGGTATCCAAAATCTGGATCATTATCTCTGATAGGCTATTCAGACTCTGACTTTGCTGGAAGCATCACTGACAGAAAAAGTACAAGTGGATACTGTCAATTTTTTGGAGGATCTTTGGTATCCTGGTCTAGTAAAAAGCAAGGGTCAGTTGCTTTATCAACAGCTGAAGCATAGTACATGGCTGCTGGCAGCTGTTGTACCCAAATCCTATGGTTAAAATCTCAATTGGCTGACTATGGATTCTGTCTTAATAAAATCCCTATTCTGTGTGACAATACAAGTGCAATCTGTATGTCCAAGAATCCTGTTCAACATAGTAGAACCAAACACATTGAAGTCAAACATCATTTCATTAGAGACATAATTCAGGCTGGTGATATTGAATTAAATTTCATACCCACAGAATTCCAAATTGCTGACATTTTTACAAAAGCCTTACCCTCTGAAAAATTTATTAAACTTTGTGACGAACTTGGACTACAGTCCCTGCACTCGATTCAGAATGATAAATAATCCAGGTACTATCCTTCCTCACTCTAGCTTTAATTTCAATAAAGTCAGTATTTATGATTACTTTCCTGTTTTGAATGATTGTGTGTATATGAACTAGTTGTTTAAGTTCCCTATGCCTTGAAATGCTGCTTGCTGTTGACTGGTGGTCTTAGTAGTTTTCCCATGCAATGCTAGCAACTCTTAGAATTCTTCATTTTTAGTATTTATATCTCGCCTATTCCCTCCGCTCTTCCCTCAATCTTTCAACCCAAATCTCACCATGACTGAGCTTTTCACTTCCTCGAATATCCCTGGTGCCATTGTCACATATGTTGGGAGAACCTTCAATGAACCTATTGAGTTCAATCTCCATAGATTTAAGGAATTCTTTGCCCACAGGAAGCTTTCAGACCCTATAGCTCTTGATCTCTATGAATTCAAAGCCTCTGGCATCGATATTTCACCCTTCATTAGGAATCTTGGATGGGAATTCCTTCTCCATTATCCTCCTCTGGCTGCCTGTCCTTTGCCAGTCAAATCATTCTATGCAAATCTTGATTGCCAAGGTATCATCACCAGAAAACTTACTACCCTGGTCAATGGATACTTCATATCTCTTACTGCTGAAGCCATTGGTGTCCTGCTGAATCTTTCTGTAGATGGACCTCTTCCTCTTGCTCATGAGGATGAATTCCTCTTCTACGACTTCGATTATGAAGTTGAATACTCTCGCATCACTCAGCGACGAGATGCTGCCAATGAAGTAATCACCTCTGCAGATCTGAACCCCACCCTTCGCACCCTTCACTATTTCATAACTCACCTCTTCCTTCCGCGTGCTCATGGACTTAACATTGTCACCAAAATTGATCTCTGGGTCCTCTCAAATGCTCTGACCGGGAGAAAAATAGATTACTCACAACTTCTCTTTGGCTCCCTGGTTCGAAATGCTTATGCTCACCTTGATGGACGCCTTCCTTATGGAGGATTCATCACCCTGTTGCTGTCCAACCTTGGTCTATCCCTCGATGGGTACTCCTCTGTAGACACCTCAGTCTTTGTCCCTTCCCTTTCTGTTCTGAACTACCTAGGGATTGATCCTCAGCCTTCGAAAGGGGGAGGATCCTTCGACCCAGCTGCTGTCAGACTCTCAAAACACAAATCTAAATCCCTGCAACTTGGTGAGTCATCTTCCTTCCGCAAAAATCTGATCATCTCCTTTGAAGAAGAAGAAGCTGAACTTGAGCCTGAAAATTTATCCGAAGAGGAAATCCGCCAGTTTGCTGAAGATCTTGAGAAGGAGATGATGGCTGTGTCTGGAACTCAGGGGGAGAAAACTATGGAAGTGGATGCTGATAACATGATGGAAGAAGATGCTGGGACTCAGGGGGAGCCAAAAGAAAACTCTGTCCCGAAAGATTAAAAGAAATACACATCAAACAAAAATTGTCTGAATTGTTTGCTTCATGTCACTGGTTTGAAAGACCATAATGGTCTATATTTGCTTTCCTATTTGTTGCATTTTGCTGGGTTAAAAGACCATAAAGGTCTATGCTTGTCCTTATTGTACTTTGCCATTGCTGTTAAATAAAAAGGATCATAATGATCTATAAATAAATGTGATGAAGGTGACTGACTAGGCTGAATACACTCTGCAGAATGAAGTATCACGATGATTATTGTCCAATGTGTGTATCACTGACTATAAGATGCCCTGCTTGCCCGTACTGACTGAGAATGCTTGAGATTGCTGTCTATTTGCTTTGTGTTATAAGGTCAATCTGAAAGAATGAATGGGTGTTGATGCTACAGGAATGAGAGCTTGATCGCAGGGGGAGATTGTTGGGCCACTGACCCATGAAGGTCTCGAACAAACTAAGGATTAAGCCCACTCCAATGAGCCCAAGATGTCTCTCGGCCATCTTCGAGACTGACGAAAGCGTCTTCGCTTTCATTCCTTCCTCATCTACCATTTACCAAAAGAAAGAACAAAGTCGAGAAAATTCCCAGTCGAACAGCATCGGAATCCTTCCCCTTCACTGGCAACGGTCATGGTGATTAAAGAAGAGAGAGAGGAGGCAAGGATCGGAAGTCTATTTAAAGGCGATTCAGAGAAGGAATTTGCTAACGGTTTCCTTTCTCAGTAAGAGCTGGGTAGCTCTTTGGGAGTAAAGGTTAGGGTTCGGCTGTAAGTGTCTGAAGAGCTTGAGTTGGGACTTCTTAGTCAGGAACTCAAGCTTATTCGGGCATAGCTTCTTTCTGATTCTTCTCTTTTTCTTTCTGTTCTCTTGTTTGTTGATTGAATCAAGTCTAGCTCAAAGTAATTAAATTTTGGGTTAGGTTTCTGCAGTGGATATTCTGTGCAATTCTTCAATTGAACTTTAAGCCTGGAAATTCCCCTGATAACTTGTCTAAATGGGATAAATTAGTCGACATTGGTATTTAACAGCGACGACGGCGGGGAGAAATCAACCGTCGGGGGAAATCAATCGTCGCATGCAATCGCCTCGATCCGGGAGAATCAATCGTCGGGAGAAAGAACCGCCGCATGCAATCTCCTCTGGGAAAATCAACCCCGTCGGAGAACCGCCGCATGCAATCCTATGGCAATTGCAATAGTAAACAAAGAATTGAGAGGGAAGAGAAAGCGATCACCTGATCATCCACTCGGAAGAGACGGTACAACCAGGGCCGGGAGAGAACACAACCACCGGCGACAATCGGGCGGAAGACACGTTGTCGCTCTCGCAACGTCCCAGTTAGAGAGTTCACTGCGTACGTACTGTGGGGGCTGGCCGGCAGCTGGCGGCTCTCATCGACCGATCGATCATTTCCTTCAAGTCAAGTCACTTGATTAATTGGTCCAATGAATTAAACTAGTTTGACAACCTTGAATCAAACCATTAAATCTCAAGTCACTTTGGTTCAATAAATTAAACTAATTTGACAACCTTTGAAAAATCTCAAGTCACTTTGGTTCAATAAATTAAACTAATTTGACAACCTTTGAAAATGCTTTTAACGTTGACGTATAGAGATGACAAAAATAACCACATCCGTGAAGTGAATATCTATCCTAACCTGACATAATCGGGTGTATAAACCCGGCCCCAAATTTTTTTGTGGGTATGAGTAAAACCAAACTTGCACAATATTGCAACTGACAATCATTTCAAAACCTTGTCGAGTCAGGGAAATCCTCCCCAGTAACACAGCAACCTGATAATCCGGGACTAAGCGGCTTTTTGCCCTCAGACAACGGTCCTTTTGGGGGCGGGTCTGTGAATTCTGCTATCCTGTAAATTCAATTCTATCCAATTACATCTGAGAAATAAAACATACCAAAAAACAGTATAAACAAAACAATAAAGATTTTTAGGGTACAAAACTAACAAACTGCTGAACAGGCTGCGAAAAGGGTCTTGTCTGGCCGATGCTAAATCATCCGCTCCTGGTTGGCTACACAAGATGTACTGATGTGATCAAAAGGTTAACCATACACTTCTACTTTCATCCTTTCTCCAGTTGTCACCGTCCTTCCTAACCTTCAACTGCTCTGGACCTGTTGGCTCCTCCTTTTCTGCCCTTCCTCTTTTTCTTATTTTCCGGATTTCATCATCTACATTCACTTCCGTTTCTCTTCCCATGTACAGATACAAGAATGACGAAAGATCGATGATGACTATGACTAGCATGGACCTTGCATATGTGGTGTCAAAAAACAATACTCCTATATCTCAAACATGTCATGTCTGTTTTCATCTCATCAGTACATCACTACCCTGAGAAGCCCCGGCTGGGGTTCGGAGTAGTCAAGGCCCTCCTCTTCGAGCAGATACCGCTGTACAGCAATTGGAAGTCGTGCAGGGGTTCGAGCACCTCTTGTGTGATGCCCTGTTCCAACGCATATGTAAACCTGTAACCGCTGATCTGCAGATCTGGCAGTGCTCCTCAAAACACCTAACTCGTGCCTCAGCACGTGGATGGCTTCACTTACATGCAGACCATGTAGGTCTATCATCCGCTCATGTCCAACTCTGCCGTTTCCCTGTGTCTCCAGGCCACCTTGGTTCCTGCAAAAAGACACATATGAAACCAAGTTTTTAACCAAACATTGCTAGCAAAACAGCAAGGATAAACATAAAGTTCAGAGCTTTGCCCGACCAACCTCTGTCGGTATATTGAATCCTGTGCTTTCCCATGGGCTGTCTTCATCTGCACATTGTGCAGCTGCCCTTTGACACTCAACTCCTTAGCCAAGGCTTTATTTCCTATGAGATATGCTTGGCGTGCCTGTTTTTTAGGAAAAACAAACAGCATTCTTACATCATTTTGGACCAAACTAGTTACCACGCACAATATACAACCAGTCTACACTTGGCTAAATAGGAGCAGACTCCCATGTTTGAGTTGGCTCCGTGAATTTCGAAACCATAACCACGGGCTAGCACCAAACCATCAATCAACACGTATGGCCAGTTAGGCTACCAGCCTACGACTTTGTTTAGTTGGCTCCGCAGTCTGCTTATTAACTTCAAAAAGATTGCTGCATAATAACCTAATACGAAGCTCCCCCAAAATTCTCACACAGGGATACACTTACTATAGACCTGTTTTACTTACTCAGTCTCTCCATCTATAACAATGCCAATCTTTCAAGTATCATAAGCGGTTCCAGATGGTGTATTATTCAAAAACCACACTGAGCATAGTGCAGTAACGTTTTGCAATTGACTGGCAATATTCCTACAGATATCCTCCAGTGAATTATTTTATTGTTATATTATCAGACGAAAAAGGGGCTGTCTTGAAAGTTTGTTGCCATATGGCCGTAAGCCAGAACAGAAGCTAGCTACAAACAACCAAGGGATATTACCTGTTCAAAGTAGGCATTCCTCAAACGTGCATGATCACGTGCTTCTTCCCGCATCTCAGAATACAAATTTGCTGCCATCTCAACAATGTTAAAGCAAATATACATATACAAAGGCATTTGCCCCACAATTCAAAAGGTAGATAAAAGTAACATTAACGACTGAAGTATATTACCAACTGCTTCTCCAGTTTCAAGCCAAGTAGGAGTGGCTCGAGAAGAAGTACGATTCTGTAACCTATCCGTATACATGGCTCTCCCTTGGGAACTACTATATGCACTAGCCAGAACATTCGAACTTCTGCTTGAACCAACTGTGGAGGAATCAGCAGGACCATTCCTTTCGTATTTCCACACATTAGAATCTTGAAGGGCCATTTTCCTAACAGCTGAAGCAAAATCAGTTGCTCCTCTAGATGGAAAGGATGGACCAGACTTGAACATGAGCATGTTCTCTTTCTCAGGAGATTGGTATGATGAGTTTATACTTTGCGGAATATCATCTCTAGGATACTTTGATGAGCCATTCTGGCTCTCTTGCATAGAAAGAGCAGGGAAATCCATTGCACTGAGATTGGGAGCTGACAACACCTTTGAATTCATACTCTGGCTAAAACCACCATCTACCTGAAGCTGCAATTTAGACACACAGATCATGCATACCTCTGTCATCCATTAAATGTCCATTTCCAAAGCAAAATTTATCACACCTACATGTAATATTATGGCCAACATTTCAAGTTGAAGGTTATAGATCTAGAACCGATGCCTCAAATACACAAAAACAAAACAGCTGATATCTCTTATCAGCTTTCTTAACGAAATGCAGCAGAAAGTATTTGCATCAAGCTCATTGCCTCAATTCTCATAAGACATCCAGTATCCCTTTCCAAAGGTGTAAGACACATTGCAAATTTGGCAAATTTATAGCAAACACCCCCTGCTTCTCTTTATCCAAGATGTCGTTAAACCTGAGCATTACTACAGTTGTGTGCAATATCTTTACACCTGGATCTACACAGCCATCATGACAATGTCGGACAAAAAAGCCAGAATGAATATCACCAGAAGGTAAAGAGGAGGTTGTCTGACCAGGAAAAACAAAAATCGTACGTAAACTGGTAAGAAGTACTGCTTTATATGCTTTCAAGTCCAGTCCCAATTTGTAGTGTGTAAGAACCAAATAGGACGGAACTTAAGTTTGTGTCAATAATAGGAGCTTCATAGAAAAAAGGCAGACATGACACATTTATTGGGGAAGAAAAAAAGTTGGTAGATTCAGAGTCATCAGAGATTACACTAGGAAAACCTCATCTATCCCAACATTCACATATACAACCTCCTTAATATCTTTCAGTAGCTGTTTCCAGTTATGATTGTCATATGCAGCAGTTCTAACTTTAACCTGACATCCCTCTTCATAGTAAGGAAACAATTAACCAATTACCTATTCATAGTTGGGAAAGAATTGAACAATTGAAGATTTACATGATTTATGCAAGCAAAACAAGTGAAAATTACTCCAGAATAAGCAAACAGATACAACTAGAAAGAAAGTACGCCAAGAGAACAGAATTAGTAAAAAGAGTAAACCTCTAGCTGAGTGAGCATCTCGATTGTGAGATTTAAGTCACACCCATTCGCGAAATAAACTTCCGCGAGGCTTTCAGCAGCAAATCCAGGGAATTGAGAAGCCAGAAACTCCAAGGGATTCATTTCTGTCCCATCCATCATAGCATGTTCACTTAACATGTCATTCATGAACACTTGTCCAGAATTGTCACTGTAAGGATTTATCTCCCTCCCGTTGTCAAGAAGTTGATCAGTGTTCATAACTTGTTTGTCCCATGGCTTAGCAGAAATATTCAAAAGACTGCCTGCTGTAGGATCTTCACCATAAGAAGAAGCAGGAAACTTCATCTTGTCACCATAGACGCCACCATTCAGATGACGAGGAGACGGTTGCTGTCCATTATATACGTGCCCACTGCCGACAGAAGGGGAGAACCTCGAGGCTTCAGTAACATCGTTCAATGACAAGCCTGCCAAAGAAAGGACATCATATCCTTGAGAATCATCTTCACCCACCACCTTGAAGTCAGGAGTGATATCATCAGGTAGCTGGTGACGCCAGAACCGATGAGCTTCTTCATCTGAGGCATTAGATACAGATGACTCTGAACGATTAAGAGCTGCATTCCCAACAGTCGCAGAAGTGGCAAACCTTGGAGCTGCATCAGCTGTGTTTGAAGTACTTCCAGGTGATCTGAGGGAAAATGGAACAAACTCTATGGCATTTGGATTCAAAGCCGTAGCCTTGCTTGGGAAGTTAATGCTTGTGTCGTTACTTTGAGACACCTTCTTGGATAAGCTCATTTCTGTTTAAAATGGGAACGATAACTCTACTATATTCAAAAAAGAAAAAGGACCCTGAGAACTGAGTAATCGCAAGAGTTTCAGTAGGCTTATCCAAAACCTGCAAAAACATCAAAAGTGGTTTTCCATTAATCACGAGAATCATACAACAGCACTTACTGTCTCTATTGAGATCCACATTCCAGTTTACCACAGACCAACATCAACAACAATCCAAGTGGTAATAATATCTGCAGCAGCCAAAGCATAACTCAATTCATCACACAAATCCCAGCAGACCAATTTACCCCATTCGAGGTCTGCAAAGAAAGGACCGGAATACACAGCAACATGCACTTCTTGATGTTAACCAAGGATAATGGAACCAATTACCAACATACACTTGAGCAATTCAAATTAACTCCGCCTCTGTAAGCTTTACCACCAGAAAAGTAGGCAAAGCAAATTGATACACACAGCTTCTGCCGCTTGCATGGGGTTTTCAGCTTTTGTGAGTCAAAAGGGAAGAATAACTCGCCATGAAGCCAAAATTGAGTACACCAATAATAAGATTAATTAAGAGCCAGATATGAAACAAAGCGGTTGAAATTCACAGAATGAGCATGCAGCTGAAGTACTTGTAGCTAGAAAAACACAAAAAGGATTAAAAAGCTTCGTTATCAACAGATAAGAATTAAAGGAACAGAATCCCCACAACCCAAAGAAGCAAAAGTGTGTACATTTGATTTTTTCAGAAAGAGAGAAGCCCAAGAGAGAGGGAACCCTAATTTAGAAAGCACCGGATTTTGAACAATAGATTTCACAACATCATCCACAGCCGAAAACAGCAAAAAGAACCCAAGAAAAGAGGGACCGAAAGAAACAAGCAGAAGGAGAAGCAAGCAATTAGATCTCAACAGAAGAAGAAGAAAAAACACCATAAGGAAAGAGGGGGAAAGAAGAGAAATTGACTAGAATCAGAAAAGATCTGGGAAGCCAGGAAGGGGAGATTAGGCAGTGAAGAAATACCGTACCTTTACGAACAAGGTTGAACGGATCCATGGAAGAGCAGATAAAAAAGGAGGGAGATCGGATAAGGGAGAGAGATGGGGGGGAAAAGGAAGAAGGTGGGAGTCAGCAAGCAGCAGCAGTTGAAATATAGGCAAAGATGGTTAATATAGCAAACAGTGTCTTGGTCTTGGATATCGAGCTCCGGGATTGTCACTGTAATTTTCTTCCTCTCTCTCTCTCTCTCTCTCTGGAGCTCTGGAGCTCTGCGAGGCCTGTGCTGTGGTTGTGTGTGTGCGTGTGTGTGGAGGAAGGGGAGTGTATTTGGCTAATCTATCAGCTATTTGGTTTGTTCGTTGGACATCTCTCTCTACGTTTCTTTCGCTCGAGTCTTTCCCTGGCTGGCTGGCTGCTTGCCTGCCCTGGCCTGTCCTATCTATCTCCTCTTTTTTTCTAATTTATTTTTTCAGATGATTTATAATTTATATCCTCTTTTTCTTTTCCTCTGTTACTATATATATGGGGTGTATTTATTTCATTTTTATCAAATTTAAGTTGAAGTTAAAATCGTGTTTGTGGTCCGATTGAAAAAAAAATAATCTTGTATCGGAGTTTAAATTGTAAGTGATTTTTAGCGGAATTAAATTGTTGAACTATGATTAAGTCACGGTATAATACAAAATATTGTACCGATGACTTTTTAGGTATAGTTTGAAAATTATTGATTGAAACAAATATATTTGTACTCATTTATTATTATCTTTAATAAAAACCATTATGACTCCAAGACAGGCCAATTATTTAAATGTAAAATTTAATGAAGCAAGTGTGCAATAATAACTCTAGTTAACGAGTGTACTTCGAGGGGAGGTTCACGGTCGTGAACTCTGATGAATGTCTTTGATCTTTGGGATGCATTCGTCTTGTCATGAACTTCTTTGGATATCACGGCCTAGAGTTAGCGACCGTGATTTTTCTTGCGATAGGGAAATCTTAGGTCACAGTTTTGCTTCGAGCAACCACGATATGTTTTTTTTCTTTAGGCCTTTTCGTTGGTATAGAATAAAATTATGTTGAAGGAGAAAAAGTACATAATCATCGCATTACTCTATCTCATAACAACATCAGTTTATATCTTTGTTGTTGGACTCCTATTCCACGAACAAGCTTTATAAAGATTGTCGTCGGGAGTGAATTGGTGAACAAATATTCTTGATTGTCACTTGATTCATAATCATTAGGATCAATACCACGAGTGCCTCACATGTGGTGAATTACAAATCGCAACCAAAGATATTCATGGCTTGTCTACTATATTTGTATTTTTTGGATCTACAGGAAACTTGGCAATTGTCATTGCCATGGATTCTAAGTGAGCTTTTGTGACCAAACGTGTGGCTTTTTGTGGAGCTGGTTGGTTAGTGTTGTTTGGCATGAGCGTTGTTTATGAAACTCAATATGTGGCCTTGAGACCCTTGAGGTTGAGAGTGACTTAGTTGTTGCCTCTGTTTGGCTGCTACTTTTTTTTTTACAACAGATATATGCTTATGTATATTTGAAAACCTAGGTATATGTTTTATATGTTCTTGGTTCTTTCTTCAACCCTCTGATCGATTTGGTCAGGTGAATTAATGGAAGTAGATAATTATAAAAATAAGGTAAACAAAATTTTGAAAATATTGTATCCATCGTATGCTCATTACACGTTGAGATCGTAACTTTGATAGCTATGCATGTAGTAGTCATATCAATGAAATCAAACTGTACTCAAAGTTATAAATCCTATAGATTTCTAGGGTCGTATTCCACAAGACTTTTTAATAATAATTACTCGTATATGATAATCTAATGCTCAAACAATGACTCAACAGAAATAGATGGGTTGAGGTTCCCTATGTTTATTTGATTTTTGAGATGCATATGAAGTAAAGTATAACAAAAAAAATACAATAACTGTTAAGATACACATTGATAAGAACGTGAATCTTAGACGATCATGCGTTTCAATCTCAATAATGGTAATCTACATTGCATCTTTTATTATGTATCTCTAAGCCTTCCGTTAAGGCCATCATTTGGTCCAAGGTTGAGAATGTCATTTGAATTCATGGATAATCCAGCAATCCACTTGATCCAATCAATGAATCCACCAATCCATTTGATCCATGAATCCACCAATTAGAGATGGCAATTGGATCGGATTCGTGGATTGGATTGGTGGATCCATGGATCAAATGGATTGGATCCAATGGATTGGTGGATTGATCCATGAATCCAAATGACATCAAAGGCTTGGACCAAATTGTAAAATTTGAAAAGTTTTGGTACTAAAATGTCATAATGAAAAATTTTAGATACCAAAATGTAATTTTCCAATGATATTTTTCGTATAAAAATATAAATTTTAGGTACCAAAATGTAAAATATAAAAAATATAGGTACCAAATCATAATTTGCCATTTGGATCCATGGATTGATCCATGAATCCACCAATCCAATTGGATTTGGATCAAATGGATTGGAATTAAATGGATTGGATTAGGTGGATAATTTGGTGGATGGATTGGATTGGATTGGATTCATGGATTTGGATCCTAATTGCCACCTCTACCACCAATCCAATCCCCCAATCCATGGATCGATCCATTTGCCACCGCTACATGTTGTTATGTGGAGAATAAATGAGTAAATTACTAATAAAATCAATCATGCATGTTCGTTTGTAACATATTTTTAATATTTAATGTTTGAAAATATATCTTTGCAAAAGGATTAGTCCTTCATTTTCCAATAGTTCGCGAGTTGAACTCACTTTCTTCCCATGCACAACACAAAATTTAGTTCCTTTAAATTATTGTTTGAAAAACTTAATTAATTATATGATCAAAAGAATCGTTAACATACAAATTTAAGAGTTAAAAAAGTTGATTATGGAAAATTCAAATCAAATTATAGAATCTTTAAACATAAGAATTTAAAAGTGGGAAAACTTGATTGATCTAGCTTAAAAGCACAAGACTTGTAGAAGATAATGTAGAAGTAGAAGGACTAAATTGACTATTTGATTAAATAATTTTTTAATAATTAAAGAAGCACAAAATATTTGCAATTCGCCAAATTGGAACCCAGGTCTAGGTAAAGACAAATTTAGAATGCTCCCTACTCGACTATCCCAATTTTATGTAATCTTCTTGTACATAAAAGTATTTAATCTAAGCTCTTAGTTTATATACATGTCTAAGACAATAACATATCACATAAGTTAGGTTCTCATGCAACATACAATATATTATAAACGAACATAATAGATGAAGTAAGCAATGCATAATTAAATCGTCGTATAATTAAAGCATTCGAATATTATAAACATCTCATGATATAGGCATCCAACAGGTATTAGCATCACATGACATGAGCATCTAATGAAACAAACTTCAAATAACATAAATAAAAATGAATAAAAACATATCATCATATCATAGAAAAAGATGATATAAGCATCAATAGAATTAACATCCTTAACAAGGAAGTTGAACTTACAATACATAGAAGAGAAAGATGATATCATTATCAATGATGCATGCATCTCCTTAGTTGTACCCTACTATGATTGCTAATTTCTCCAAATATAGTGGCTCCTTGCTTGAGTTCGACAAAGTAATTTTTGTCCGTTTTTACAGCCTACTGAATCCCTCAAGCTAACCATATATTTATAATAATGGAAGAACTAGGGGTTTTTTTTTTGTGGGGGTGGGGGGGGGGGGGGGGGGGTTTCCTCCTAAAATGTGAACAAACGCTTCTTGATACCAATGGGACTTGGATTTCTCATCTTGGGGATGAATAAAGGAATATTACCGATGTTCCCCTAGGCTCAAATTATAGTATTTATCACTACCCTTATTTGATCCATTTTTCATTATGGAAATGCATCTTTAGTAGATTTTATTATGTTTTATATGTACTTCATAACTATTTGATCAATATACTGATAATAGACTTAGGTTGTGTTTTATCATCTTTTTATGCTTTTTCCTACTATTTTGTGCTTTTCAAAGTAAAATGCAATCGAGGATGATTTTGATCAACAATTGGATCAAGTTGGAGAATCAAAGTGGTAATTGCTAGAAGATCAAGGATGATTCATGAATCATCCGTTAAACAAATCCCAATGGAGGAAAAGCCTTCATGAAGTTTTCATATGATCCCGAGAGGAGTCTACCGGAGAAATTTCAGGCGAAACCTGCAAAGAAAGTCACAGAGACCATATGATGGGTCTAATCGTCTCAGGCCAATACTCAATAAGTCGCGTTGAAAATCTATGGAGAGGTTACCCGTGGGCCAAATGAGAGGAGAATTATCGGCGGCCCTACCCCTGCTGGCCTAAGTCCATAGTTGCTTTATGATCCTTTTTTCGTCCCCAAACCAAGGAATCCCAGTCTCAGTGGTACCACCACAACTTTGACCTAGTTTCAAGAGGAAAATGTCAATAACCTCTTCTTCCATACACTATAAATAAAGGGTCGGGCAATAGGATTAATTGGTAGATACTAGTTCTTGGGAATGAGGTCTTCACCCGTTCACTGTTCTACTTTCTGAGAGTCTGATTAGTGAGTGATTGTTTGGAGCTGTTGTTGCGTTGTTATGATGATTCATTGGAATGAAGTCTATTGATTCCCCATTCACTCGCTGCTATTTTGACTATGCATTGTCCAATACCCTACTTCACGAACCATGCATTGTCCTATGCATGGTTCGTGTTTGTTGGCAGAAGGCAGGGTCATGTGCTCTCCAGCTGGACTTGCATGGTTGATTTTTTTCTTTTATATTGTCGTTCCTTCTTGTTGTCTGGTTTTTCAGTCATGTGGTCAATCATCCTTTCTTTTCGTTGTATTGGTGGGATCACCTTCCCCCTGACAGTAAATGCTATTTTCTTGGTTTCTGGAGAGAGTCTCATTCATGATTTATGAGTCTTTGCCTCCTACTTTGTACTTATATGTGTTGTTCTCTGACATTATTCAATAAATTTCCATTATTAAAACACTAATTAATTTTTGGATATTAATAATTGAATCTGATTTTTTGGTTGAATGGACTCCTAAAACTGATATGTCTGATTCTTACCAACATATTGTAGTGGAAAATATAAAAACCCCGACCAAAGTGACTCTATCACGCCTTAAAGTTTACTTTCATCTCTCGCTCATTAACATATTGATTGCTCGAAGTTCCGGTTTCTAAAGAAATCGAAAACCATATTTCTCGCACAAAAGTACATTGGAATTCAAGAGGGAGCTTTAAATATGATTAGTGGCTTGAACTAGCACACAACACTAAACACAAACAAGGGTGGAGGTGGCTAATCAATTCATCCAATTAATTAATTAATTAATCAATCAATCCAATTGACCAGTCAGTATTAATGAGAAAAAAACAAGTCGGAATAAGTAGAAGAAACAACAATAATTAAATGATAAAACAAACGACGACGTTTTGGCACACGAACTTAAGGAAAAAGGGGACTCTTGAGTCTTGACAATGACAATCATCACTGATTCGTTGGGCAAGCAGCGAGCTTGGCGAGCACCCCGACGGCGAGGGAGTTGACATAGGTACACGGCTCGGTAAACACCGACTCCCACCTCTTATCATGGAACACGTCGTTCTTGTCGGGCCCGCCGAGGATGGCGCCGGTGAGCACGTTCGGGTTGGGCGCGTCCTTGTTGAAGTACTGGACGAAGCTCATGGGGCAGCTGACGGTGTCGGGAGCGGTGCAAGGGATGGACGCGCCGCGGTGGTGGGCCTGGACCGGCGGGTTGGCGCCGAAGCCCACCATGTAGGAGCGCTTCTCCGGGTTGGCGCCCAGGATGTAGTCCATCTGCTGCCTGGCGAAGCCCATGAGGGCCTCGGAGTCGAACTGCTGGCTCCCGCAGCACACCTTCTGGTTGTTCGTCTTCAGGATGTCGCTGTAGATGGAGAAGAGCGCCGCCGTTCCGGTCACGTACTGTGAGTTGGCGCCGTCGCGGAGGTGGATCATGCCGCCGGGGGTTATGTAGACTTGGTGGTACGGGCTCTGTGGCAGGTTGGAGCAGACGTAGCTTTCTGCTTGGGTTTTGTACTGCTCCATGCTCTTCTCCCCTTCGTAGAATAGCTGCATGCATGCATACCCCCACTATGTTATACAATACAATAATACAGCTTCTCCCACTGATATATATATATATATATATATATGATGTTTAGGGTACCCGGTTGCATAGCGAGGGTTCGAGTTTAGTGGGGTCCCGTTTATGAAAAAATATTATATTATTGTATTCAATTATCAAGTAAATTTTCTTAAAAATATTCGTGCAGGTAGTCATTCATCAAACGTTTTATAAAACACGTTTGATGGCAAAAAAATTGTATATTGATAGGAAAAAATTGTTGAATTAAGAGTTTTTTGTACACATATTTAGTAGAATTAGAAATTTCTAGTATAAAGACTATAAAATTGGGGAATTTTCAATGATATATGAACAATGTCGTCTAATTTATTTGCGTGTTTCATAATATTAGGACAATTAAATTCCATATGGATGGGGTCATGAATTCTAAATCTATCCAAATTAAACAAGTATGTACATACATATAACCATGTTAATTTATACAAGTGGGGTCCTATAACTCCACTCCCTTCCACCTCCCTCCACCACTGAGGGTAACACATATACTCTTGGTAAGAAAATGTTATTTAGATCTCGATTAACCAAAATTTGGGACATGATACTCTTGATGAGTGAACCCTAGTTTTAATTATCTAAATTATAGACTCCAAACAAAAGATGGTGCATATAACTTTTTAGCATGTATACCGACAAATAATGACTATTGATTTTTTCCCCCTAATAATCCATCTTTGTGTATGATATGTATTAAATTAAGACTTAGAGTTTAATCTTATGGGATTATGATATAGTACCATGTCCTAACTCCTAAACTTCGGTTAATTCAAGGTCTAAACATAATTTTTTTTACTTAGGTTATATCTTATTTTTGACATATATATCCATATATATATAGAGTAATACAGGGATGAACCGAACCTTTGCCAATAGAATCTGGGAGCCGGCGTATTTGAGATCCCAGCTGAACTCGGCAACACAGCCGCTAATGGCATCTTCCTGCAGGTACTTCAAGTAAGTTTCGTTCTTGGTGGCCATGTACAACCACGTCGCTGCCCACATCAGCTCATCCTGTCATCATGTATTCCACTCGTCAAATTTTGTACGATTGTGTGAAAATATAAACTTTGTACGAGAATGTCGGAATGTCCTTCCTTGAACAAAAAGACTTTTTTCCCTTTAATTAAATGATTTAAACATGTAACTTTAATTTTTTATATTATTTCGCGCGCAAGAGGACTCACATTGTAGCCTGAGAAAGAGCAATAGAAGGGGCATTCACCGTCGAAAGTTGCCTTGTGCGCTTTGGCAAATTGGAACATCTAGTTTTTCCAACCACAACATACAAAGAAAAAAAGTAGAAGAAAAAACACGACGTCAACTAAGCATGGACAAACGAATAAAAAAATTAACAATACGTCGAAAGTTGCCTTGTTACGCACGGATTTGGCCTTGTTGAGGAGGAGGCGAGAGTAGGTCTTGTTGCAGTTTCTGAAAACCATGGAGGAAGAAGCAAAGGCAGCGGCCGCCTCGGCGGCAATCTCGGTACCGGGCCCACTCGCGTCGATCTTGAGTACGGGCCGGGGTGTCTTCATGGTCTCGGGCCGGGCCCAACACTCGTGGTCCAGGACCGGGTCCCCGACCTGGACGTAGAGGCAGTCGCGCTTGTTGCTGGCCTTGAGGAAGAAATCGGTCCCCCATTTGATAGCATCGAGCACGTGTTGCATTTCCCCCGTCGATTCCAGCTCCTTCTCGTAGAACACCGCGTTCATGGCTAGGGTCGTCACCGTGAACGCCATCGGCAGCCCGTACTTCACGTTGTCCCCGGCGTCGTAGTAACCGCCCACTAGGTCCACCTGTAACGTAACATTCGATTACAATCCTATGTTGTTATTCAATGGTATATAATTCGCGATTGAACAGGATTAGTTTGCCTCATCAACAACACATAAATAAGCTAGAAATATGGTTACGTACATTTACAACTTTACCGTCGTCTAGGGCGGAGTCTCCTCGCCACGGCACGCGGTTGTTTGAAGGAAGCTTTCCTGATCTCTGAGCTTCCAAGAAGATGATGGACTTGGTTAAGGCGTCCTTGTAATCGAAATGAGCCTTCACGGAAATGAAGCTGCTCGTCGACAAACACGCTACTATGGCTATAATTGCCGCCACATTTGGCCTCATTACGGAGGAGCGGAAGTTCATCGCGTAAGATTTTTTTTTTATTTTTACAACCAAGACGACGATGATCACCTCTTTTCACTAATAAATCACGTAATGAAGGAGGAAAGGGAACGATTAAGGATGAAATCCAAATTGCATGAAAGTGCGCTATGAAAAATTCTGAGGGAGGGAAAGGAAGGAAGAAAGAAGCGAGGTTGCATGGATGGATGGCCCTGCCCTTTCTGAATTTCTTGGAGAGGGTCGTGGCTGGTCTCAATAAAAGAGGTGGAAAAAAAGTCGTCTCTAAATCTGGCACTTTCTAGTTATGCATCGATGGATAATATATATTGGTTTATGAAAGAAACTTAAAACAAAACGATCAACTACAAGAATACCATTATTATGTATATTAAGAGAGTGGAACATTATAAAATCCTATTATGCAAAAAAAAATTATAAGACCTTAATTTAGATTTTTGTCCTCATAATCGTATTTAAGGGTTCACAACTGATATCGAAACAAAGAGGGGCGGATTAACAATTTTTGCACCCTTTGCTTTTTTCCCCCTGTAATTAGTGGTTACCATTAAGCACTCTCTTGATCAAAACGGCACAAAAGTAAAAAAAAATACAAAGACTAATGCAGCCCACAATCCTTCTCAGTGCAAATGAAAAAGGATAAACTAAATCCCTGTCCACTATATCAATAACCTGACTACAATTAGGGATCTTCTAAAGCTGAGTGCAGAAATCAACATAAAGTGACACACCAACACCAAAGAAAGCATTCTACTAATCCCCTACCACCATTTTCTGGCTCTGCTGCTATTAAATCTAACATTTCTTCCCATGAACCAGGCAACAAAACATATGAACTCAGCACGGCAGAAACAAAATCTCTACTGAAAACACATTCACAAAAGAGTGGGGTTTCCCTGCACTGCTACATAAAAACACAGATATCATCTTTAATCATGCCCAAACTTTTCAGCTTGTCCCTTGTTGATATTCTATCTTGAATTACCAACCAAGTCAAAACCATGTTTTTGGGTAGAATGAACTTTCCCTTAGAGGACTTTCCACCAACATCCAACTGTAACAAACGCCATTGCTTCATATATGCAACTGCAATTAGGGTACAGACTGTCTGCATCTTCACCAAGGAGCAAAAGTCTCTGTATAATCAATTCCAACCTCATGACTGAAAACCTGAGCAACAACCGGTGCCTATGGAATTCGATAGTACCATCTGAAAGGAGCTTGAGGGAGTAGACCCACTCACTACTGATAACCAGAATTTCTGGTGGAGGACGAGCCACAAGCGACCATATATTGTTTGCATGCAGCTCATCAATCTCAAAGTCTATGTACTTGTTCCAGTTGGCATCACCGACAACCTGCTTGTACCTGGTAGGAACCACAATAGAATCAACATGAAAGGCGACAAAATCACGCATACGTGGCGGAAGCTGGCCACGTGTGAAGCGGGATGAGCGACGAGGGACCACGGTCTCGGGGGCAGGTTTAGGAGAAGATGATGATGTCGATGACGATGGAGATGACAATCTAGCTGAGGGCAAGGTAGAGGACTCTAAGCCGGAGCAGTCTGACGTAGATGATGACGAGGCATGAGATGGCTGGGGAGAAGTCGGGTGGTTAATCGTCATCAGGTAGGATGAGCTCATCAGTAGTCAATAAAAACTCAAGAGGACACAAAGGACTCACACTCATGAGTGGGGGAGAAGAAAGGAAGGTGCTTAAAGAAGGTGACATTACAAGAGATACGCATATGATAAAGAGACGGATCAAAACACAAGTATGCCTTATGAATGTCACTATAATCGATAAAAGCACAACAAACTATTTTAGAGAACAACTTATCGCGTTCATGACGCGGAAGGATAACAAAAACAGTACAACCATAGAACCTAAGACGACTTTACGGAGGATGGACAAAATGAAGGACATGATAAGGACTATGATTATCGAGCAAAGAAGTAACCTGATAATTCTATCTCACAACTGTAGTAATAGCCTCCGGCCAAAACCGAGGGGAACACCAGACTTGAGAAGAAGAGCTTGAGTGACTTCAAGGACTTGGCGATTCTTCCTTTCAGCAATCCCATTTTGCTGTGTAACAGTAGGGCAAGACTTCTGAAAGAGCATACCAAGAGACCTGTACAAGTTAAGCAAATCAAATGATCCATACTCCCCTCCTTCATCAGATTGAACAATCTTCACTAATCAATTAAACTGAGTCTTAATCATGCTCAGAAACTCTGTGGCCACATAAAGGAGGTCAGACTTTAGCCGAAGTAAATACACTGATACATATCGAGTAGTTTGATCAACAAAGAGAGCAAAGTACTTATAACAATGTCGAGACACTACTGGAGAAAGGTCGCATATGGATAATGTGAAAGGGATCTTGGATTACTATCATTCTAGAAGGAATAGAGATATGAAATTATTTAGCCTCAACACAACTAGTACAAGCGAGTTTGGAGGAGCTATCAATCACATTATTCTTACCGAAAAGTTTGAGTTTGAACATAGAAACTAACTGACCCGTGATGGGGTGACCAAGATGAGAGTGATAAAGATTCAAATTTTGATCATTCAAGCTAGAAAATGCAGAACACAAAGGGAAAAAGAGTCAAGTAAAATACTCCCTAGACACCGACGAAGATACTGACCCTACATACTTATCCGAGAGCTTCTCAAGTTCAAAATTTTGTCCTCTTCTACTCATGCGCCCGAACTGCCTCCCTCGTCATGCACAACACAACCAGATAGGGAAAAAACACGATATCCCTGCTCAGTAAGCTGGCCAGAGAAACGAGATTTGGAGACAACTTCAGAACAAAGTAAGTATCTAGCAAGGCAATATTTGACTTATCCACACAACTGACTGACAACATTCAGTCGTTGACCATTAGCAACTTGTAGGGATATATTTTCAACCAGATTCATATCATGCAGCATCTTATGATCACTAGTCATGTGATTAAAGCAACCAGAATCGAGAACCCATGGTTTGAGATGACCTGAAACCTGAAGAGAAGCAAGGGCCATCACAAGGCAGTAGGTAACGAGTGCTATATAGCTTGATTGACCAAGCTTTCGATGGCCTCCATGTTGACATATGTGGATGTCGGAGTGGGTGAAGCCACATGGACACTCGGGTTGGATTGAGCAGCAAAGGCAGTGGGAGTGAGAAAGAATGCTAGCTTTGGGGCGCGACCCTGGTGACTGACAACGACGATTCTGAATTGATGGTCAATCAAGGATGATGTGCACTGTCTTCTGACAATAGTTACAGAAGTTGGGTATTCGGCAGTGCTTCTAAAAATGGCCCAAAGCGTGACAATGGTTGCATTGAACCTCAGATATTGCGCTGGAATTTATGCTTCCCCAAGTGCGAACGCGTGATCGGAGGACGGCTGAGACTGACCAGTAGCAGAGAAGACCGCTTCACCTTCACCAGGACGTAAGGAAAGCTGGGATTGAGTTTTGAAATGAGTCTCTGCACATATGAGTTTCCCCGACACATCCTCCATCATAAGACCATCTTGATTTATCATAGTGGAACGGACAACCTCAAACTCAGGCCTAAGTGATATGATCCTGGTCAGGATCACTGTCAGAGTATCAAACGCAACCAACAAGGATCTAGGTTTTCCTTGTTTCCGAAGCACAATTCGATTTCGATGATGGATCAATCGAACAACTTTATCATGGGAAAGAATCTCAATGATTTAGGATAGAACTCCCACAAACGGTCGTGATTCACCAGTTGATGCTTGAGCTTGATCTCGAGCTTGGATTGGATCCAAACACACAATCAGAACACGTTCAAACGATGAACATATATTAAAACGAAAACAAGTTGTTTGATCTTCTTCTTTTCTACCATTACATATTAATTGAAACCCTTTAAATAGACAAATGGACGCTACGAACTAAGTAGAAATCCTATCCTAACTAAACAAGGAAATTCAAACACAGCAGAATCCAAAAAAAAAGCAAGGAAACAAAGTTTCTTCTCGGCCAAGTAATTGCCTTAAGCTGTACGGTTCAGCATGTGGGATACCAACTTGGGGCTCTTAGAAAATGGTCCAAGTCAGTTCGTTGAGCTCAACCAACATTTTCACGTTGAAGTAGAATTTTCCCTCTTTCATTTGCGACTCCAAGCTCGACCAAAGCGCCTCTCAACACGGAGAACCAGCTCCTCGAAGTTGGTGTCTCGTCATCTAGTTGGAGTCTGGAGGTGCTTGATGGCTTCCTGGAAAGCTAGTAACACGTACTAGCTCGACAGGAGAAATGCCAACCACATGAAAGCCCAGAACTCAAATTATAAGGGTTGAAAATAGGGTCATGAACACGAGCTACAATCCCACCAAAGCACTCGGGTTTGGTTTCCATTTGATCCTTTAAGCTCCTAGATGAGACTTCATCACTAAGGCTAATCAAGAAAGACATAATACGAGTCTACTGTCATTCCTCCATCACCTTGACAGACGCTTCCATCATGCGAAAAGCTGCAGTGAGAAAATACTGCTCAGTCCACAGCTCTTGCGCCTTGTTAAGTAACTCGCGACATCATGGTCGCCTTGCTAAAGACGAGCTAACTTGAACTGAATATCAAATTTTCGAGCAGTGTTGTTTGCAGAATATGTAGACAATAGATGTGCCCACATGGCTTGAGCATCAGGGAGAAGACGAAGCCTAATCACAATGGTCAGCTCCACCGACCTTAAGATCCTCAATTTCACTCGGGCATTGTTCTGATTCCAACGAGCAATGTCCTACTCTGAAGCTGCAGTCGTTGCGGGTCTCGTTGTCATACCATCAAGGATTCCAAGAAGGCCACGACCTTCAACAAAAGAATGAAACTTAAACTCCCATAATGGGTAGTTCATGGAGTTGAGACGAACGAAAAGGCGATCCTAATCAGCTGACAAAAGCTCTGATACCATGTTAACAAATTGAGCTAGCACAAATGATGATAGAATGAAACACAAGACACACGATATACTTGGTATCCCTGAGATTCAGGACTAGTCCATGGGAGAGTATAGTACTCTCTAGCTGCAATCTTATTCCAGTATTCGATGAACACAACCGCCAAAATACAAAGGATTTACAGGAGGGAAAAACCCTACTCGCCCACTCAACTATCTACTAGGACGTGGCTCACAAGCCAAAGAAAGGAAAGAAGAAGAAAAGTGTCTGCCAATACGTATATACCAATGTTGTCATAACCGAGCCGGAGCATGACCCGGTAACATGAATGG